TCTCTGTCTTCTGCACACCTATTCACCTCTGCCCTCTGCTTTTTATCCCCAGAGCTAGGGTGGGGCTTCGCTAGCAGCAGTGGCTCTTCCATCTCAAGGACCAGCCCATAGATCTCCAGGGAAGGAAAAAGAAAAGAAGGAAGGAAGGAAGAAGGAACGAGGGGAAGGAAGAAGAAAGGAGAATGAAGAATGAAAAGGGAAGGAAAAAGAAGAGAAGGAAGGAAGGAAGAAGAAAGGAGAATGAAGAATGAAGAGGGAAGGAAAAAGATGAGAAGGAAGGAAGAAGGAACAAGGGAAGGAAGAAGAAAGGAGAATGAAGAATGAAAAGGGAAGGAAAAAGAAGGAACAAGGGAAGGAAGAAGAAAGGAGAATGAAGAATGAAGAGGGAAGGAAAAAGATGAGAAGGAAGGAAGAAGGAACAAGGGAAGGAAGAAGAAAGGAGAATGAAGAATGAAGAGGGAAAGAAAAAGAAGAGAAGGAAGGAAGGAAGGAAGATTATAATGAGAATGAGTGAGGGTATCAGGGAAGTCCTGCCTTAGCACTTGGCCACCACAGGTGTCCTTGGCATGAGCCCCATGTCACACCCACCATGGTCATGCCCCCGGCCACACACACCCCACACTCCCTCTGGCCCTCCAAGGTCAAACACAACTCTGATGCGGCCCTCCATGAAATCGAGTTTGACACCTCTGATCTATGTGATGGCATTTGTGCATGAGCTAGACAAGACCTATGGAAGATTGTTCTCTGCAGCAAGATTATTATGAGCACAACGATGGGAAGCCTTTCAAAATAACCACAGCAGAGAAGACCTGAATTTGGTCAATCTACAGCTTTGATGAGAACCTTCCGGCTAGAGGAACGGGAACTAAACATTGTCCTAATCCCCTGCCCATTTCGAGTGCTGCTGGAAAGCGTTTACTATCAGAAAGAGGAGGATGAGGCTTTTGTTTTTTTGAAAAAAAAAAACCTTTTGGGAACCTGGAAACTCTTAGTTTGGAACAAAGGCAAGAACTGAAATCGTGAAGGAGGCATCTGAAAAGCCATCATGTACAAGGACGTGAGTTTTTCTTTCCTCTGACCTTGGAGATCTGGCGTCCGATTCGTACCGATGGGGGATTTTGTTCTTGGAGGCTGAAAGAGAGCAAGCAATCCATGTGAAATTGGGGCGTGTGTTCACATTCCCCATAGAACGACATCTCGTACACGCTGCCCATGGTAAGCAGTGAATTTACGCCTCTCCTCTGGAACGGAAGCATCCGTGTTCTAATTATGAGATCGCTCTGGTGTCTTGGAAAACTAATTGCACTATTATGAATTTAAGAAGAAAACAGCCAGGAAACATGAGAGATGAGGAACAGATGTTGTAGAGTTTACAAAACTCTTAAGGGGACATCTAAACATGATATGAAATCTAAGGATCACTAAGGAGCTACATGTTAGAATCATAAAGTCACAGAATTAGAGGGCTGGAAGGGACCTTGGAGGTCTTCTAGTCCAACCCCCTGCTTAAACCAATGATCGAAAATTGAGAACTGTTTGAGGAGTTGGAAGGGGATCTTCAGATCACGCAGTCCAACCCTCTTCAGCGAGCTGGAAACTAGTCTGAACTATGCAGGGGAGCTGACTATCTCATCCAAAGATTGTCCTCCAGCCCTCCATCCCCACCACGGATCGTACCTGGAAGCCCTTAATGTTTAATCTTCTCCGAAACTGAGGTGGATCCAAGGGGAAGAATTTGCTGTCTTCAGGGGATTCTTCAGAAGTTGAAGAGTCATCTGCCTCTTGGCCGTTGGTTTTGGGTCTGGAGGTTTCCAGCATCTGAGAAATCACGGTGAAGGGCAAATTCCGTGGCAAACTCTGGAAGAAAGAAGAGGATGGGTTTTAAAAACTGGCCAGTTCCATCTAGAACATAGAACAAAAGGGTTGGAAGCGACCTTGGATGTCTTCTAGTCCATCCCTCTGATCAAGAGCCTCTACCATTCCAGACAAGCTGCTCTCCAATCTTTTTCTTGAAAGCCTCCAGTGATGGAGCATCCGCAACGTCTGGAAGTAAGTCGCCCTATCGATCGATGAATTGAATTCATCTAGGACATTGATCAGGAAACGGAGCCTGTAAGGTGGACCTTCTCAACCTTCACTGGATGTCTTCTGACTTGGGACACCCTACCTGGTCATAACCGTTGTCCTTGGAGAGGCGTCTGAGTTTGCATTCCAAGTTAATGATGCATGCTTCCTTCCGGACCATTTCAATCCTCAGGTCATTGTTTTTTTCCTCCAGTTCCCGAATCTGCTTCCGGTGTTTGTCCTTCTCAATCAGGCACTGGGAATATTGTATTTGGGCCTCATCCCGGGAGTGGAAGGCCTTCGGAGGAAAAACAACAAGAGTTCAACACCATGGAAAAGCTACTGAAGGACTCAGATAGAATAAGATAGAATAGAATAGAATAAAATAGATGGGATGGAATAGAATAGAATAGAAGATAGGATAGGATAGGATAGGATAAGATGTAGAGTAGAGTAGAGTAGGTAGAGTAGAGTAGAGTAGAGTAAAATAGAATAGAATAGAATAGAATAGAAAGAATAGAGAATAGGATAGGATAGAATGTAGAGTAGAGTAGANGAGGGGGAGAGAGGAGGAGAGAAAGGAGGAATGGTAAAGGGAGGGAGGAGAAGGAGAGAGGAAGGAGAAGTAGAGAAGAGAAGGATGACAAAGAAAGGAGGGAGGGGGAGGAGAGAGGGAGAAGAAAGTGATGGATAAAGTACAAATATGGTGTATGGAGAGCAGAAGAGCCAATAATTTTGGGGGAGAGTTGTTGGTAAGATGGATTTAATAATACAATATGATGTTGGTTATGTAATAGTATACATCTGATTATATGTTATGAAAATGGAAAAGTTTAAAAACTTTAATCAAATAATAATAATAAGACCTGCCTAAAAATAAGCCCAAGCACTTATTTTTTGGGGGGTGGTGTCAAAAGAAAATAAGACCCTGTCTTATTTTTGGGGAAACACGGTAACATTCACGCAGGAAAAGAAATCCTATTCAAGCATTTACACAGGAAGTTGTGGAGTAAAAACACTTCAATTTCCGGAATTGCAAACAGAGGGAGACGATACCCCACAACTGGGTGAACAAAGAAAGACCAGCCTTTCAACTTCCTTACAATTTTGTTAACTTCGCAGCTGCCCGTGGAGTTGTTGATGGAGATGGGTTGGGAAGAAGCTTCAGGGTAGCTCTGGATGGTCTCAACCTTCTCTTCGTTGTGGCCTTGAAGGACTGCAAGAGCGGAGAGAGTCAGAGAGAAAGACAAGCAACAGAGGTGTTGGCTTTTCAGTTGTGCCATACGCATCATTTCCCGCAAAGAAGGCTTGCAACGCCTTCTGGCTTTTTAAGGGCGGTCCTGAACTTACAACAGTTCATTTAGGACAGTGTTTCTCAACCTTAGCAACTTGAAGATTTCTGGACTTCAACTCCCAGAATTCCCCAGCCAGCATTCGCTGGGAGTTGAAGTCCAGACATCTTCAAGTTGCCAAGGTTGAGAAACACTGATTTAGGGACTATACAGAGTTACGACGGTGCTATTTTGACCCAGCTCCCCACACATGACAAACCCACTGTAATCTATCAACAATTCTTTTATGAGGAGCCCCAGCAAAAATGTCTTTCTCACCACAGGCTAACAACTCCGTCCGGCAGGCAGATGAATAGTTGTCTGCCACACCTATTCATCTCCGCCCTCTGCCTTTTATCCCCAGAGCTAGGGTGTGGCTTCGCTAGCAGCAGTGGCTCTTCCATCTCAAGGACCAGCCCATAGATCTCCACTGCTCTCCTCTCCCCTCTGTCTTCTGCACACCTATTCATCTCTGCCTTTTATCCCCAGAGCTAGGGTGGGGCTTCGCTAGCAGCAGTGGCTCTTCCATCTCAAGGACCAGCCCATAGATCTCCACTGCTCTCCTCTCCCCTCTGTC